CACTTTGCGAAAGCAATGAGCAAATCTCTGCTAAAACATAGAGGCTTTATTCTTTAAAAACAGATAAACCTATTATTTCACCCTAAATGCTCAACAACCAGTAAATGAACCTTAACAATCCAGCAATCCTACCTAAATACGCAACAATGATAGCACTTAATGCCACTAATCAGTGGGTTCAGAATATGATACGCTGCATAACGGCTAGGTATCAGGGTGTAAATGCACTTGTCTCTTTTCACACCTGATGAGCAACTGCTCCCACGCTAACATAAGCTTCGATTAAGAGCGGATAATGGGATTAAGATGAGCATGCACACTTTTGGCACCTGTAATGAGTGCTCATAGGTGCTCTATAAATGTAGAGCTCCTTCAACTAGATCATCCAGCTCATTCAGAGGGTCTCTGTGCATGTAAGTGAGCTAGGGTTAGTACACCTATCAGAGGAGCATGGTTTTTTGGGATTGTGTCTGAATGTACGAGGTGACTCATCAGTTTCATGGACAAACTGCACGTTGCAAGAAGTTTCTCGTTTTATTCAAGTGTTGCTTCACATTCAGAGAATGCAAGTCCAAAACAACAGGATCTGCAAGCTGCAAAAATAGTGACCACAACAATAGTTACCGTAACTGTTTCTGTAAAAATACATTCCCAAAACTTCTCTCAATCTGCTCAAACTGCATCCACGTCTTCATTAGGGTCACACAGACTTGCTGGTTTGACTTACAGCACAGTATGACTTACTGTGAGCAATAAAAAACAATCTTGGATCAGGTTCTTCCATATTTATGATGGTTAATGTCACATATACTGATTTAGATCGCACTTTTACTCGTGAGTGTGGTTTATAAACACAGACCCTGCTGTCTAAAGTGGCTGCTCACTGTTTTGTTTATTTTTATAGCTCACAGTAAGACATGCTTTGTCCTAAACCACATCAGCAAGTCTATGCAATCTTGATAAAGACCTAGATGTGGTTTGAGTGGGTTGAGAGAAGTTTAGGATGCATTTTTACAGAAACTATTGAGCGCTAGTGTTTATTAGCAATGGTAAGGCTCGCTGCCCCAGTTTTAAAGAAGCAAACATGGCTTGGACACTCGACTGTATCAGGGTAAGGGGAAAAGTATGTAAATCTGATTTCTCACCAAAGTATTCCTTTAAATTGCAATCAACCGGTATGGCCTTGTAAGTCTACACAGGGTCATACAGGTCATATCTAAGTAAAGCTAAAGTGGCTGCTTGCAGTTTTGTTTATTTTTATAGCTCACTGTAAGACATGCTTTGTCCTAAACCACATCGGGCAAGTCTGCGTGATCTTGATGAAGACCTAGATGTGGTTTGAGTGGGTTGAGAGAAGTTTTAGGGATGTATTTTCACAGAAGCTATTTGGGTGACTATTGAGCTCTAGTGTTTATTAGCATGGTTGGGCTCGCTGACCCAGTTCTAAAGTAAAGAAGCAAATATGTCATGGCTGACCGACTACATCAGGTGTAAAGTGTGTAAATCTGATGTCTCACTAAACCATTTCTTCAAATTGTGGTCAACTGATATGGCCTAGAAAGTCCATGCATGGTCATATAGGTCATACCTAAGTAAAGCTAAATCCATATGCAGGTTCACAAAACTGTTATCATCTCTGCATCCAACTGCCATGCCCTAGTCACCTTAGTCACACGTGTGGAAAATCTTCCAGCCTGGTAGAGCAGCACTAGCTAAAGAGGATTTCACTGTCATGTACAGTGAGGTTGTCAGCCTCATAGTTTGCACAGTGATGTTATCACTATCAGGCTGTCAGATAGACTGTTTGTCCTAGTCTCTTTCATTCATCTTCAACGTTTCGCCAGACTATTTAACCGTTTCAAATGGTATGTGGCCGGTTAGCTAGCCAGCCAAACACAGTTTGGAAAACAAATATACATGCAATGCATGCAAACAATGCGTTTCACCCCTTTTCGGTGAGATGCCACGTCGCAGACCGTCCACAACTCCCATTCTGACATTCTCCACACCTCAAAACGCCAAACTGTGAGGAGTAACGTTAACTGCAGTCATCCCACCTTAAACAGACCAGAGCAACGAAGCTCAAGTCAGCTTCTTATTTGAATTCTTTCGCGTTCCACCTTAAATGGTGCAGCAGTTGATATTCCACTGAACCATTTAAGGTGGAACGGGAAAATTCGAACAACAAGCTGGCGAATAGGAAGCCAACTTCAGCCTCGTCATTCTCCACACCTCAAAGAGCCAAACTGTGAGAAGTAACTGCGGTCATTCCACCTTAAACAGACCTCTGGAAGTCTGAGCACCAAATTTCTACAAATCGTAACCAAGCCTGGCTAGCGAGCTAGCTAATTTGAACAAGTTGTCAGCGTCAGTAACGAGCTAAGCCCGTGCTTTTAAGCCTCGTAATCCCACACCCATGAGGGCAGATGCTTCTCGTCGCCCCTCCTGGCCGCGCCGTGTCCCGTGTTTACCTGTCAGCCAGCTCGGAAGGGAGGCAGCTCGGAGGCTAACGGCGACTAGCCGACCTGGCTAGCCACTTCAGCCCTCATTCCACACAACGGAAAGCAAACTTCGGCTCGCCTGCGGCTCCGACGCCCACTTACCTCCGCGAACATTGTTCCAAACGTCGGGGAAGGGGTCGCGCAGGTTAACCCCAACGCATTGTGCGAGTTGTAACGACGCGCGGCTCTGCTTTAAAAGCGGACAGCTTTCCACACTCCGCACTCTCTCCGGAGAGTCGCCATATTGCGAGGTTTACGTCCGACGACGCCCCTCCCACCGCCTGCGGATGTTAAGCTGTGATTGGTCGTAGCGAAGTGACGTTTGTAATTGTGGGCGTGGACTGGACAATCTCAAAACTGATTCAATTCAAAACATGACAACATAAGCAAACCGTAAAATTAATTTAGTACCTGTCTGTACAGATTCACTGTGGAAAACCATTCCCGCCTCCTATAGCAATAATAATAATAATAATAATAATAATAGTAATAGTAATAATAATAATAATAATAATCCAGCTCCTCATTTTTTTCATTCTTAAGTGAATTGCTATGCCATTAGTTCCAGATACTGAATCATTATTTTAGATACTATCTCATTCATATCAGATGATAAAGCATTGTATTGAGATATTAAGTCATTATTTTGAGATACCATCTCATTGATTTGAGATATTCAGTCATTATTTTGAGATACAATCTCATTGAATTGAGATATTCAGTCTTTATTTTTAGATACAAGCTCATTAATTTGGATATTCAGTCATTATTTTGAGACAGAAGCTCATTAATTTGAGATATTCAGTCATTGTTTTGAGATACAAGCTCATAATTTTAAGATGCTTTCCCTGGTTTAGGAAATGATCTCTTTAGTCTGTGAAACTTTCTCGTTCTTCTAAGATGCTTTCTCATTATTTTGAGAAATGTTCTTATTATTTTGGGAAACTTTCAGTTATTCATGTTTTTATATATATATTTGTGTTTTTGTTCTCATCTCAAAAGCTTAAAGCATCTCAAAATAACGAGAAAGCATCTTAAAATAACAAACGCTTTCCAAAAATACTGAGCATGTTTCTTAAAATAAAGAGAAAATACTGACCTAGTGTCTCAAATAATGAAGTATTCTTTCAAAATAATGACTTTTTTGTTATTAAGCGAATTGCAACATTAAGGAATAGCAATTCACTAAATAACAAATACAATAATAATTAGATGCTGGATTTTTTTGTTTTAAATGGCAGGAATGGGCTTCTATAATTCACATAGGTGGTGAGAGTAGCCTAAACACAGGCTCACTAAAATGAGTTACTTTAATGAAACAGCTGATGTAAAACAGAAGTAGAAGAAGCTTTCCTTAAAACAAAACAAAAGCATAAATGTATGCTGCAGTATATACACATATACTGCATATATTTCCATACAGTGTTGGTGATGGGAACCAGATGGTGCAATGTCTACAGTGCAATTAGACTCATTTACTATCCAAAAATACCTGAATTTGTTTTCTGAGTTTTATATGTAAAGTTCATAATGGTAAAAGAGAGGTAAATCTGAAATAAGTAGTCTCAGACAATGTATTTGCATCCATTTTGTCAAAAAACTTTTTGTGAGGGAATCTTTAGCGGCATAAACACTTCAGACGTTTGGTTCCTATCACCACCGCTGTGAACAATTCTGGCTTGGTTGCTTGGTAAATGAAACATTTCACTTCAAACAACTCTGAATAACTTTGTTTACATGTTAATGATTAATTTACACTGAAAGTAAAAAAAAGTGGAATATGTAAGTACTGAGTAGTACACGTAGCTGAGTAAACATAACTAGGTGCTAGGTAGCTCTGCAAATGTGTTAATATTTAATTTTTAGATTTGTTATATCTCAAATCAGCAGGTGACAGCTGTACTTCACGGATCTATATGAAAACTAAGCGTGAGATTACAAAACAGAACATGTGGTCATTCACAGCCTACTGAATTAAGATGTGTGAATGTGTGCCTTCCAAAAATCATTTTCATTCAGTTCATGTTTATGTGTTATTTTGAACAGTCAGTATTCAGAATACAGTAACTTTTTACATGTTTTGGAGAATATCTTTAGAATATTTATCCACTTAATAAAAAAATACTATCATTAATAGAAACACCATCAAAGCTTGTTCAAAATCTGTGTTGTCAAAACTCCAGGTTAAACCGATACATACATGATCAGCTATTAATCTCAGTGTTACTGAGCTCTGCTAAAGCCTGAGTAGACTGATAAATCAATGTGATGATCAGTTATTAATCTCAGTGTTACTGAACTGAAGTCGATATGTCAGTATTTGTCAATATTATCCAAAGATCAAGGAGCCAAACTACCACATCATGCTATAAATTCTGGTTAAAGAACTTATTGCATGTTCGAGAACACAAAAAAGGCCCTTAATTAACTGTGTCCCCTTGTAATCCTCCATTATTAGCCATACATGAAGTGAGAAGAGCGTAGCGCACAGACAGATACCTGTTTCAGATTGAGCAAAGCCCCAGCCGGGTCACACTGCAGACACGGGTGCAGGTAAACATAATCCCAGGCTCCGTCTGAGGCTCTGTAGGAGGTCACTGTGACCAGGTTCCCCATTGTACACAAGCCGAGCATATCAGTCACACTGGCTGCTCATGTTTCGTCTGCCCTGTGCAAAGTGTCTCATGTAAAGACATAAGCATAGTGCTTAATTAAGCTTTCGGAGAACAAAGCATCATGTTGACACCGCAACACAGAAGAGAGACGCCTAGAGATTCCGGTTTGACTGGGACACAACCTTGCACATGACATTACCTATCACACGGTAAAGAGGACTTTGAACCCTTTGCTGGTTTACAGCCCCAGGCAGCAGGGACATCAGTGCACAAAGGCTCAAGCTAAATGCAGCTTCCCATAAGACATCAGAGGAGGGAATATGAAAGAGCCCATATTCCAGATTTATGTGGTATTTTTGCTTTTTCCCTTGAGGTCCAGTTATAACATTTGAGCGATTTTATGTACCAAAGATGGTCATTATTTGTTGTTACTTTCCAGCCTCTCTTCAACCCTTAGAATTACACAGGCTGTTTTTATTACTGTCAAGGCAGGTAGACACTGAGCATGACGCGCATAAACAACACAAAAAGGCAAAATATTTGGACGTGATATTTTTGCATTAAAATTGTACACTCTGGATGCAACATGATTTAAAAAAAATTCACCAAGTCACTCACACTGTGAAAAAATGGGCAGAATTTCTGTCAAAAGGTTCTTTGCTTCTCACAAAACGACAAACGGCGGAAAAGCGATAGGAGAACGGAAAGCTTCTCTGCCTCATTCAGGAGCTTTCAAACACAGCATCACAGCTCAGTTTGAGCTGCTTTTGGAGAGGCAGCTCCACACTGGAACACTAAACAAAGCTGAATGCTGTTAAGTAAGTAGTAAGTAAGTAAGTTTATTTATATAGCGCTTTTTACAACAGGTGTTGTCACAAAGCAGCTTTACAAGGAAATCAGCATTACAGAAAGAAATCCGGGTCCGAGCCCCCATGAGCGTCGCCAGAGGCGACAGTGGCAAGGAAAAACTCCGTAAGAGAAACAGGAAGAAACCTTGAGAGTAACCAAGACTCAGAAGGGGAACCCATCCTCCTCTGGTCGACACCGGATAGTAAAACATTGTTAGTACAAAAACGGGGAAAACAGGTGGAGCAAATGATTAATTTGATTAGTTTAGTTCATGCAGCAGCATCAGCATCAATGGGGTCAGGTTGTGAGGGTGAGGTTTGCACGGCATAGTACAGCATGGAGCTTGATGGTGGTCAAGCCGGTCCAGAGGGCTGGTGAGCAGTGGCACCCAATCAAGGCAGAAGAGGCAGCTGCATCAGACGCACAGGATGGGCAGATATTCAACTCGGCAAAGGAAACGAAAGAAAGGAAAAATACACAGAGTCAGTTCTGTAATGGGTGATTGATTCATTTGATTAGTTTAAATGATTGATTAGTTCAAATGATTAATTTGATTAGTTTATGCAACAGCAGCATCAGTGGGGTCGGGAGTGTGAGGGTGAGGTTTGCATGGCGTTGTACAGCATGAAGCTCAATGGTGGTCAAGCCGGTCCAGAGGGCTGGCGAGCAGTGGCACCCGGTCAAGGCAGAAGAGGCAGCAGCTCCAGAATGAACAGGATGGGCAGCTGTTCAACTCGGCAAAGGAAAGAAAGAAAGGAAAAACACACAGAGAGTCAGTTCTGTAATTAAGTGCAAATAAGACCTTCTTTGCTACTCACAGAACGAGCAAACGGTGGCACTGGGCACTGGAAAAGTAAAAGTAGCCACTTCATGCAGAAGCTGAAACTTTGATTGCTTCCACATATCACTCACGTGTTTGTAGCCCAGCCTGAGCTGTTCTCAGAGATCCTGGTCCTTTTGATGTCTGAGAAAAAGTTCTAGTTGCAGGTACAAAGCCAATCCATCATCTTAGTTGTCATCACGCCGATACCAGAGACGACCATGATTGGTCAGAGAGTTCATGTTGCTGGTGCAAAAAACGAACAGAGGGTGAATAAAGTAATGTTGCTTTTTTTCACCATCCTAAAAGTCACGCTTGGTGTGCAAGATACCATCAGTTATACACAGGCTTGAATAAATTTACTATCAAATAGCTCACACGAATATATCATGGTCAGTGTGTAAAAGCCTGAGCCTTTAAGACTGATATATGTAAATGAGCTCCGTTCTGATTGGCTGTCCTGTTTTTTTCCTCATTCAAAAAGCAGTCCAGGCTGAAACACTCCTCATAACTTCGGTGTGAATGGGCCTGTAGGCCCGACAAGTGGATATATGTAAATGAGTTGGTTCTTCACAGAAACAGCTTCGTTTCCATATATGGACTGTATGGACTGAATGGTATGTTTTAAACAATGAATATAAGTTACTTGAAACTCCTATGTTTTAAAAAGTGAGGGAACTTTGGTTTTCCATGCTTTGAGGATTAAATCCATTAAGCCCGAACCTTACAGATACCACTCTTCAGTGTTCAAGAGATCATCTCATAGTTAATCACTAATTACTGCCCAAGTGCAATTAGCTTGCATAAATGATCTAAAAAGTCTTTGGAGAGGCATCTCACACGCACAGAGGTGATGAACATCATTTTCAAACAGAGATGGTAAATGGTAAATCTGCACAAGCGATATTCAAATGAAACATATTAACGTTCACTGCTTTTAAATGAAACAGTTTTTGCACGAGTCACTGTGCTTTATTAACCAGCTGTTGTTGGCCACAGCCACGCTGTACATAAGCTCAGCTTTCAGCTAACAGGTAGGAGCTTCTATACTCAGCTCACTTCTGCACTCTCTTGTTTTCAGCTCTAGACTGACTCCCAGTTCCTGTCTGCTCTCACACAAACCTCGTCACCCTCCGCCTTCACAATAAGAGACCTAACCAGAATGACCCTGAGAATAAATGCTAGACTCTAAAACTGACATGCAGAACATTTTTTGAGCACGCTACAATATAGAACCAAAACAGTGTATGAGTCATTCCCCATTTGGAGTGGGAAACCACGCCACAAAGGTTGCAGGACTTAAAAAGATGCTTAATATATAAAAAATATTAGTCACAGCTCTAAAGGTCAGTATGTACATTTACACAGTTTACCTAAGATTAAATAATACTTTTTCCTTACGATTTCTCTGATTTTTCTTTTTTATCCTGTTTCACAGTCGCTCTGCATCTGTAAAACAGCTCGTCACATAACCAATTTTCAACATTTGAGAAACCATTTTTAATATAAAACAATGTTTTTTAGAGGTTAAACTTAGGAATTAGTATAAAACAGATTAATGTTAACTTTTTTATCATTGACTTTATACATTTAACAAATATGTATTTTATTTAAAAAATTCATGTCACAGAGATTTTGGTCACCAGTGTTATCAGGACTCTTATGTTACATTTTAACACAGTATTTTCAGCTCTATTAAACCGCTTCTTTGGGTTGAGGCTCATCAGAGAGGAAGCATCTCAAGGCATGAGAGGGTCACACTTGCTCACTATATTTCATTAATTTATTAATAGTTTTGTTTATCAGGCAGCTCATAACTTCTACTTGTCACTGGAGTTATGTGCTTTAATGGCTGGGTAATTAAACATTTGTGAAAATAATGCAGAATATAATTTTTATTACTGAATATAAATAGTTGCACAAGGTCACCTGACCACCAATGGGTCAGCCAATTTACAAAATCCTCAGTTTTAACCAGAATGTCACTGGAGTCACCGTCACTGGTGTTACACCATATTCATACAACACCAGTGACTGTAAAATATGTTTGGAATTAATCTCCATTTTGCATTTATGATAACAGGACATGTTAATGAACATATTAAGATTATTTAGTTTTGGGAAGAAAGACGTTTTAAAAATGTATCCACCTGGCTTCCCACTCCAAATGGAGAATGACCCCTATACATAACTATCTATCTATCTATCTATCTATCTATCTATCTATCTATCTATCTATCTATTTATGTGTGTGTTGGGGGTTGTCTGAATATTTGCCCATGGTGTGTTTAAAAAACCTGCACTCTCTCTCTGTTCGTGAAGCATTCTGCCTCTGTGGAGTTTCGTGTGGGCGCTGTTCGCCTCGTGTTGTGTAAACGCTGCTGTTCTGAATCCGCTCTATTGTGGCGCTGCTCCGCTATTTTTAGAAAGCGTTTGTGTCGCTACGGGTTGTTTTTTTTTTCTTTTACCACCCGTTTTCCGACAAATCCCGCCTCCTGCTCTACGATTGGCTACCGGCGCCCTTTCTCCTAAGCCAGGATTGGCTGGTCAGAATCAGAATCAATCTTTTTTTTTTCATCAAGTAGGAGACACAGAAAAATAGATAAAACATACAACACAAAATCCTGTAAAATCTATAAAATATGTATAATGTGTGCTGTGTACAGTTTCATATACATGAAAGGGCCCATATCATGGCAAACCAGATTTTCCTGGCTTCTTTTGTAAATAGAAGAGTTCACTGTAGCATGGAAACACTGTGAAAGTCTCAGTTCACTCCACAGGGACGTATTCCGCAAAGCTGGATTTCTCAGTTAGCCTGACAACTTAAGCCCAAAGATGAGGATTGTCCAATAGAAATGTCCCGTTTCCTGTTGGACAAGCCTGACTTAGGGGCTAACTGAGAAATCCTGCTTTGTGCAATACCACCCTCGTCCATGCAGTCCATAAGTGGAGACCAACAGCCCGTTTTGAATTCATCATTTTTGTGATGTCATAAAACCAACCACCTATTCAGCCTACAGTGGTTTAACCCTGCTATTTCAAGCTGAAGTTACAGTTGCTTTTTGAGGGAGGCAAAATACAACTAGCAGCCAGTCATAACAGAGCTCATTTGCATATTTCAGTCTTAAAGGCACAGTGACATAAACAGCCTGTTTAATAGTAAAAAATGGTCTTGTAGACCATTATGATTGTTTTGGTACATAAAACCACACAAAAGTTAGCAGAGGACCTCAGGGGGGAAAATAAAATATACAAAAATTGTAAGCTATGGGCCCTTTAATATCCCAGTGGCATTGTGGGTGGTAACTAGTTTACTCAGTTACATGCACTTAAGTGGACTTGTACTTTGAGTATCCAAATTCTGAGTGGTTGAAATGATACTTTGAGTGTTTCCAGTATGTCTAATGCTTTTACATGTAAGTTTATCTTGAGGAAGTGTTCTACTTATTCAGTTGCTAATTGTTTTCTGTGTTTGCTGTTATTATTA